AAAGGAGTTTTGTGCCCATTGTTTTTGCTGGAAGAATTCATTGAGACAAAAACAAATAAAAAAAGTATCCCAATTAATTATTATTCTTGAATATTAGTTTTTATGTAAGTATATACATACTTTTAGCAGCTGCATATTCTATTGTATATTCCATGGAATCTTTCTCTTCTTGGTGTCGTCGTTCCCAGTGTTGTTTAAAGTTGAATTCCGTGGAACATCTTTGATCGCAACGATGACATTTAAATACTTTCACCTTTTCTTCGTGTAGCTTCAAGTGTCGCGTTAAATTAGACTTCTTGTTGGAAGCAAATATCATGTTGTACACGGGGCAACAGAGGTCTTCTACTTGTGGGGTAGCTCTAGTAATGAGCAATCGATTGATTGATGAATCGATGAGCAATCGATTCGGTCGCGCAATCTCTGTATTCTTTTTGATGCGCAATATAGAGCCCTAAAATTTGATAATTATATTATTAAAAATGCGTTGAATATATTTAAGAAAGACACATCAAACTACCGGTGCAAAATCCATTTGTACTTTGAATTTACGTCGATATTTTTGCAGGTGTTGTAATTCAAAGTGGTTCGACGTTTTTGCTGGTGCTGCAACTGATTCAGTCAAATGTTCATAATTTTTTATATGATATATGCAATCGATTTTACGCATTGTGGATTTACATCGCTTCCGTCGTATTTTGGGCAAAAGAAAGTTCTATGCACATACACATATTGTTAAAAAATAATTTTGAAATTATAAATATAATAATTATGATTCAATCATTTGATATTTACTCACAAAAAATAATCTGTCCATTGACTTTGATGTTTGCAACACTTTATGATCAATATCGAAATTCAGTTGCTTCAATTTAATTACTTAATAGTTGAATATTGGCGCAAAATTGGTGTGCGAGCTCAAACAGTACAACTTTATAAAGTAGCATTCACACGAAGTCAAATGTCAACGATCATATTCAGTAATATAGCACTATAAATTGAAACTCGTTGTGTGAATGATATACTATATGAGGTATATACTTGACGAGTTTTTACATTAAATTTTTTTTTATATTACCAAATTAAAGTTATACTGGGCGCCATCAATTGAATATTATGTGACTATAATTATCAATAATTAGTATTGTTGTTTCAATGTCGAAATTGGTTATAAATAATAACTGTCAAAAATAATTTCAACGATCGTTGACAGTTGTATACATCATCTTTGACAGTTGGCTTAGTTTGCGCGTTCATTCACACTCTTTTTCTGTACATTGTAAGGCGCACATATATTTCGCTAAACAACACGTTTGAATATTACTCACAAACAATGTTCTGGAGTAAGTATTAATTGTTATTTTTATTGTCGTATAATAAATAAAGTTATAAAATTACATTTTTTGAAGGCATTTGGTTAAATGATAAGACTCCGTCACGAAAAATTCACGTCGACAACCATTTCAAAGTATCAAACGTAGCTTTGTTATTGGAGGATTACGACGACGACAATTATAGGAATGTCGGTATTTGGGTTCAAATCAATGGTGTCCGCACGCTATTGGCTAATTTGAACTGCAATTTGCCACAAGCACAGATCGATGTTGCATTTGGGAAAGGGCAAATCGTTGAGTTTTACATGAGATCGAAATTCAAGGCTGCAGTATTTTTAAGCGGATATTTTATACTCAACGAAGAAAATGAGGACGACAACAGTTTCTCCGATACAAAAAAGACGATTGATAGTAAGAGTTGTTTTAAAAATATAAAACAAGAATCACAGAATAGTTTCGATTTGAAATTTAATGCTTATTTTGATTTTAGTACAATCAACGCGCGATTTCTCATCTGAAAATAGTGGAACTGACTATGAAAACTATGAAATGACCGATTCTACAAAACAGAGCGATGGCTCTCTCACATCCGGCGGCGGCTGGTTGTCGCATGTAGCTGAAACTGAAACTGAAACCGAATTCGAAAATCAGTTTCGGTTTCACTTTTTTTCGGTCGCCGTTTTTTTGGGTATGTGCAACATGAAACAGAAACCGAATGTCAAATGACACGCCATTTTTGATATGTCAAGACAACTGTTGTGTGAATACAAATTATAAATATGGAATATCGAGTTGCAAGTTATTTGTTTGAAGAAGATTTTCGCGCATTGGTTGCCATTCTTTTTTTGTTAAAAAAGAAGAGAAGAAGTCCACACAAATTATATCGGCTACGACATGAAGAAGGAGCTTTGAACATATTGGTTGACCGTCATTTGATAAATGATGAAATAAAGTTCAAAGAATATTTTCGTGTGAGTCCAGGACTTTTTTCGAAATTAATCGACAATTTGAAGGAAGATCTTGATGGCATTCCAACAACTTGGGTACAAAAACCAATGACAGCGTACCATAAACTCTGTATGACGCTACGATACTTAGCAACAGGTTAAAAATGTGATTATTTTCTATGAAAATATGTTTTTGATTGTTTCTATTACTTTAAACACACAGGTGAAAGTTTCCGTTCCTTAGCCTTCCAATACCGTGTTCATCATTCCACTATTGGACGCATTGTAGAGAAGTGTCTCAATTCAATAATCAGACATTTTCTTGAGAAAGCAATTCCAACACAGACGGAAGTCACATTCAAAAAAATCATCATGGATTTTGAGCAGAAATGGAATTTTCCTAACTGTTGTGGTGCAATTGACGGCAAACATGATCGAATCAAATGCCCACAAAAAGGGGGGTCTGCTTTTTTCAATTATAAAGATTTTCACTCCATCGTTTTATTGGCCATTGTTGATGCAAACTATAAGTTCATTGCTCTTGACGTTGGTTCATATGGAAGAGAAGGCGATGCCGGCATTTTTTTGAAAAGTGTCATGGGTAGATTGATCAATAGCGACAATTTCAATATTCCACCAGCTGATCTTCTGCCAGAATCAAGCATTTTATCGCCAAACGTTATTCTTGGAGATGAGGCATTTGCGTTGACAAAAACAATGATGAAACCATATCCAAGAGCTCAGTCTCTACATGATTCGACAAAAGCCATATACAACTATCGACATTGCCGTGCTCGAAGAACAACCGAAAATGCCTTTGGAATTATGGCATCGTATTTCCGGATTTTCCACACACCGATTAACACAACACCAGAGAAAATCGATAAAATAATTCTCGCTTCGTGTATTCTACATAACATGATGCGAGATGAAAAGATTTCATGCCCATCTGAAGCGACATTTGGAAACATGGATGATGTCACGTTACCAAGTCAAAACCTCATTGAATTGGGAGCTTCAATGGGAAGACCATCAACCGAAGGCACGGTCATTCGTGAAAAATTCAAGGATTACTTCAATGGAGATGGAGCAGTCGCTTGGCAACAAAGTATGATTGAATAAAATAATTGAATTGTAATTTCCATTTTATTGTAATCATTTTATTGTAATGAATTAAAACGAATCAACATAAAAAAACATTGAAAACAGTGGTGTTATATTATTCATCCATCTGTTGTTGTTGTTCTTGTTGTTGTGGTTCAGATGGTGTTTGCACCGGCAAATAAATGAATTCAAGATTTTGTTGTTCAATGCGTGCTGAATTTTCCGCCCATGCAATTTCTTCTTCACCAACCATCTGACTCATTTTTAGTTTGAGTTTTGCAATCACCAAAGGAGAAAACTTACGCATTGTTTTCGCAAGCGATTCGAAAAAGGTATCCAGTTCATCGGGTGATTTTGGTGGGAAGAAATCGGCAGGCTTTGGACGTGTAGCCATGAATTCACGCAAAATGTCATTTGTTTCCGTTTCACGCTTTCGTTTATTTGACGATGGTGTTTGTGAAACCGATGAACCAGGTGAGAATGGTTGGTCATCATAGCCCGATGCATTTGATTGTGTGTCAGCGGTCGAAAAGTTGTCGATTTGTTGTGTCAAAACGTCTTCGCCAACCGTTTGCACATTGTCTTCAGTGTTTGTTGATGGACTGCTTGACATCGATGAAAGCGAACTGAAAAATATAAAACAAATGAAAATTCTGTAACAAAAAGAACAATCAAACGATTGTTTAATTTAACTTACGCTCGGCTTAAAACGGATGTTTGCAACAAAAACATGAGTGATTCGTCTCGTTTTGATGTTGCTGATGACGATGCAGCTGACCCTGTGCCTTTTTTATCGCGAGACCGAACAAAGTAGTCGCGCATTGCGACCCACTTTTTTTTCACCACATCCACTATCATTACAAATTAACAATAAATTAATTAAAAAAAATAAAACATTTACAATAAATTCATTTTAATTACCTTCCATTCCCATGCTTTCGGCCAATTTCAACCACAATCGATTTTTTGCTTCAGCATCGCGAAACTTTGCGTGTCTCACATTGTAGAGAATTTCATTGGTCTTCACAAATTCTATAATTTTTTCCTCATCGACGAGCGAGAACTTTATCTTTTTTGACATTTTCGTCGAAATTTATTTATCAAAACCAAAAAAAAAAGGTAAAAATCAACAAATAAAAATGAAATTACACGACTGGAATGAAAACGCGTCAAACAACAAGAAATGTAAACATGAAAATGGCGTCAAATATGGAGAACATGACAGTTCTTAATGACAAACCGAAACTGAAACAAGTCAAAAGTACTTGTTTCAGTTTCGGTTGCTAATGTACTGGATTCGGTTTTCGAAAATGAAGAACCGAAAATAGAAAGATTCGGTTTCGGTTTCGGTTATAGCTGAATTTCGGTTGCTAATGTACTGAATTTCGTTTCAGTTTCAGCTACATGCGACAACGGGCCAAAGTAAATGGAGTATTGATTTTAGAGAAGAAAACCGGTCTCGTCCAAGATGGCCACTTGCACCAATAAGTGAAAGAAAAATATTTTTTGGTAGACTTATAATAAAATGTTTGATTTTAGTACAATTAACGAGCAAATTCACGGCGTCACATGCACACATTGGAACTCAACAAAACGTTGGTTTTAAACAAACTCGTTCTGCGGGACAAACCGGTATGACCATAAGTGAAAAGCAGTATTTTTTGGTAAACTTATATTGAAATTTGAAATGTTTGATTTTAGAGAAATCAACGCCAAAAAAGGTATCACGTGAAAACACACAATCAGTTGCAGCAAGCCAAAACTCTCACACCATTGTTTCGACACCTGAACTTGTAAACAAAACAAAAGACAGTAAGAGTTGTTTTACAAATATAAAATAAGAATCATAGAATAGTTTCGATTTGAAAAAAGTTTGTGTACTAAGTGAGCCGTTTCTATGTCTCTCTAACTCGCACTGAAATTCACATTTGAACCTTACAGGCGTCTCGCTTGGTGTACACAGTTATTTAATGTATATTTTGATTTTAGTACAATCAACGCGTGAATTATCATTTGATAACATTGAGACTGATTATGACTAACATGAAATGATTGATGCCACAGAACAGGACGATTCCCATTCGACGCCCGGTGGCAATGGTAAGTAAATGGAGTAACATTTTCAATTTAGAAAGAGTATATATATACTTTGGTTTTAGAGCAAACACGTGGTCCACAAACACAATTAACATGGAATGTCGGCTCAAACCCACATGAAAACATAAATACAACTCAACTGCAGCAATTATTTGGAACCACCACAAATGTTGATCACACATATGGAAATTATGGACCACAAAGCAGTTCATTTTCGACGGCCGGTGGAATGAGTAAGTTAATGGGTTGAGATGAACAATTTAGAATAAATTTTAATCAAATGATGGAAATTTAGAAGAAAGCAATTATGCAGTGAACATTTTTTTTTTGATAGACTTATATTGGAATGTTTGATTTTAGTACAATTAACGGGCAATAACGCGGCGTCACATGCTAACATTGGACCTCAACAAATGCATAAAGTCGTTGGTTCCAACAAAATACAGCCTGTAGGACAAACCGTAATGATCGACGGTAAGTGAAAAGCAGTATTTTTGGTAAACTTATATTGAAAGGTTTGATTTTAGGGAAACCACAAAAAATGGGAAAGCGCAAGTCCCTTCAATGCTGGAACAAAGCTATTCCAGGCATGGAAGTGGGTGGTACTCGTCGAATTTGTAGCCCTCCAGCTCAAGCATATGGAGCCAAAGGTGTTCAACCTATTATTCCAGGCGACTCAGAAGTTCTTTTTGAAACTGAACTTCTGGAAATTACAAAATAGATTATAAACTATTATAATACATAGTTCTCTTCTTTTCAAACAATCATATCACTGATATGATGAATATAATGTAAAATCAAATTAGAGAAATTATTAAAATTTAGTAAAATAAAAACGCGTTTAATTTATAAGTTATAACATATACCGGTAACACAAAAGTGCAATGCATAGTACATGCGTCAAATCATATGCATGATATATGCATACTACAAGGTGCATACTTGATGCATCGTGTGTATGCATATATTTTAGCGAAAATGGCTCATTGGGTACACTATCATTTACACGGGGTGGGTCCTTGTGTATGTGAGGGACATAACTATCGGTGACAATCGGTTACCAGAAACTAAGACACATATTGATCGTGCTGCATTTTTTTTTTTGAAGGAAGCAAATCAAAATATAAAAATCTCTATCAGTTGAAACTTCAATATTATACATTTATTTTCTTTTATTTATCTATTTGTGTCGATTTCTCTTCGTAATAATAAGTAAACATTCGCCACGAGTTTAAGCCACCAATACAATACGTTTTTTTTTTTGTTATTTAACCTCTTTCTGTTCTGGTCTTTTCTGAGCAAGTAGAAAAACGGAAAACCGAAAATAGATCACAAAACACGTTTTTCTTTTATTTTGTTCGTCACCATCTTCTTGTTCTTTTTATCTACCACTTGTACATCTTATGAAATTGATTTTTGACCATTTTTTCTTTTTTATTTTTTCTCTGTTTGTTTCACACTAACATTTGTCATATACACACTGAAAACACAAATTGAAGAAATTACTTACCTGGGGCATACTTTGGCACAGATAGTTGCAAAAATGGCGTATTACATCTTTCCTTCATCCAAACACCACACACTAACCAATTGCTAACTTGGTTACCGCCAACGGTAACGTTGGTAGTAAAATTTAACTTGAAACTCATTACGAAAATTGCGTTGAAGCACTTAGAAAGTAAGAGCTCGAATGACTACTGGTCTCAAAAGACGAATTTTGATCACCAAATATTCTAAAAATTTTCAGTTCAAAAAGCAATAAAATTGGATATTTATTGCTATTCTAACACCCATATGTCTCAATTTGTACTGGAATTTGAGGGCCCGAGATCAGTGCATCTTTGGTTAAACCGCACACCCTCCCTTAGTCCTCTTTCACTATTTTCCTTTTTTGTTGGTGGTAATAACATTAGAAAATCAATGTTATTTTAAAGACACTTATGGTAACGAAATTAAAAAAATTTCAATTTGAAACCCAAATACTTACATTTGTACGAAAGAAAAAAAATAACACTTCATGAACAAAAAACGATCTTTTAATTCATATTCAGATCATTAGCCCAAGATTTCAGTATTTATCTTCTTTCAATTCGACGAGGAACATTCACCAAAACCATTTACCGAATGGGAACTGATACACATGTTCTAACTGAATAAAATAAATTAATCACCACCTTTTTGTGACTTATTCATTCAAAATCTTACATATCGGTCACAAAAATGGGTGCATATTAAATCATACGTTTTTTATAAATATAATTCAAAAACTCGTAAATGTCAATCAAAAATGACTATTCACTATAGCATTAAAATCGAAAGTTCAGACTCTTTTCGCTTAACACATTTTTGTAATAAAATGAATGAATTATCTCTTTCACTTGTCGATGGGAAAATTTGTACGTCTTTAACGCTTGGCCGAAGACATGAATTTTCAACTTGAAGAAAAACTACCTGCTGAAATCTTCCATTCACTTTCTCGGATCGCTCTATCCAAATTTGTCTTTAACTATATTGGCTGTTATGCATCTATACATGGGAATTGCATTACGAAAAAACCACCTGTTTTCTTTTCAATGCCGAAACACGAGAGAGAGAATGATGCATTTCTATATTATACATTGAGACATTGACCAAATTACAATACGAAACTAGTGAATACAATTATATTGAAGACACAATTCTTATGAATTCATAATAAAAATTAAATAAATAAGTTATATCATTATCAATCTGGACAGAAATGTCCACATGATGAACACAAATGTACAATGGATATACAGAGTATCAATTTTTGAGGTCAACACACCGCAAAAATGTGTTTTTCTTAAATTTTGAACCTTTTTATTACACAACGACACATGTCGGGTGTCCTCATACTATATTGATATTGGTGTCTTTCAGAAAGCACTATATACATTCAACACGCCCTCGACTTAACCGGCATACACACGTATATACTGTTTACATTAATGGTATAATCTCGATCGATTACGGGGATCACATGAATTCAATTCTGATAAATGCTTTCATTATTTGAATTTCCTATAAATAAAAACATATTCAGAGTGGAATAAATGCATCATTACACAGTAAGAAAATATCAGCCGACGCTATACGCAAAACCGACTGGTACGAGCGTTCATACGTTTTTACATCTTTTACATCTAGTGACCATACGATTTTTCGACTGTGCGAAGATAGCACAAAGAGTAACGAATCAGTCGAAAAATCATATGGTCACTAGATGTAAAAGATGTAAAAACGTATGAGCGCACGTACCAGTCGGTTTTACGTATAGCGTCGGCTGATATTTTCTTACTGTGTAAAGTTAGAATAAAATTACTGTTCATATCAGTAAAAATCTACTATTATTCCTTTCTTTTTCAGAATGAAAGCATCTACATGTATGATATTTTTGATCGCTTCATTAAAATATCTTTGTCCAGATGCATCGAATGTCCTAATTCATGATCGGGGCGAATTGAGATTGTCCAACCAAGAATGGATTATCAGATATGACTTCAATTTGGAAACTTACTTCGAAGTAACAACTTTATTGAAAAATTGTATTTCAAAATTGGAAGAATTTTGCGCTAAAAATAGAAATCCAAATTGTGGTTATTTCATCAATGAATCTAAGAAATTTCATAAAGATGTCATTAGAACAACCAATCAACTCTCTTTATACGAGCGGAAGAAACGCATCATTCCTCTTTTAATTGCTGTAGCGGGAATTACGGTTATCAGCGCGTTGGCAGCATATGCCTCCCATACAAAAGCATTACGTCAAGTCAAGGAGGAATTAATAGAAAACTATGACCTCTTGGAAAAGAGTTTGAATGTCACTGAAAGGGGTTTCGAAGTAAATTTTGAATCTTTAACAAAACTTAAGTGAATATATACAAGAAGTGATATTAAACTTGACCGAGACTTCGAGACAAGATAAATTCTTCCATGAAACAATTTTGGTAATTTTGATGGCAA